TTCGGGGGTTAAATATAAACTGACAGGACCTGGAGACTATTCATGGCTCCTCCCGGGGAGGACAGGGTCGGGGAGACTGCCTACAAGGCTTGCAGGTTCATCCACCGTGGAATGGGTAACGGTGAGGCGTTGAGTGTGCAGGGAGTGAACCCGTATTGTGTCTGCCACAGCTTCAGTCACAGCTTAGAACTCAGACGTAGTTGTTGAAGCATGGTCCGCGCAGAACGTGAAACTGAGCGGAGCAGCCAGCGGTTCTCCCCCGGGGGTGTTTACAGAAAGTATTGAAGCTCACACAGACAACTGAGGTGACTGCTGCAATGCCGGGCTAGCACACTTGAGACCAATGTATCTCACTTTCCTTAACTACGCACGACAGGTTCTGTTACATGGTGAAACAAAGTGTGTGTGTGTGCGTGCGTGAATGGATATGTGTATGTGTGTGTGCATGTGTGCATACATGTGCCTCTGTGTGTGCATGTTTGTGCACGCGTGTGTATGTGCACGCGTGTGTGTGCACACATATATGTGTGTGTGCACATGTGTGTGCACGTGTGTGTGTGTGCTCTAGAGCAGTGGTTCTCAGCCTTCCTAATGCTGCAACCCTTTTAGTACAGTTCCTCATGTTGTGGTGACCCCCAACCATCAAATTATTTTTGTTGCTACTCCATAACTGTAATTTTGCCACCATTATGAGTCATGATGTAAATATCTATGTTTAGATGACCCCTGTGAAAGTGTTGTTTAACTTCAAGGGGGTCGTGACACACAAGTTGAGAACCACTTGCGCTAGAGGCTGGCTGCCCCAGAGGGGGACAGAACCTGAGCCGGCCAGTGAGCACAATGACACTACATTATGCCAGAGGTAAGCAATGTCCGAAAGAACAAACCCAGGGAGCAAAGGTCAGAGGCCAAGAAAGGAAAGCTGCTGCAGCAATGCTCAGTGAGTGTGGCCTTGAACTCCTCCAGTAGGGATCAGGGTGTGACAGAGTTGTCCCTGCAGGACTGGGATTGCTGAATCTGTCATGGTGAGTGGCTGACCACAGTTTCCCAAAGTGACAATTAACATGACCAGTCACTGAGTAGCTGCTGCTGTTTATTTCTGCTGAAATACCTTCGCATCTCTTGGTAATGCCTAAATTAATATAAGAATCAAGGACATACCTCCGCCCAGAACTCCGCGTATATGTCATTTGCCGTCAGTTTCGTAACTGGCCATAGTTTCGTCACAGAACAAAGGTCACAGGCAGTCATCATCAACCCGATTACACGGTCTCTAGAAGACGACACAAAGCTGGTAAGTGCAGTGTCTGCCCTTTGCCTGGAGACCCAGGAGAGGGGGCAGGGGCAGGGGGGGGTGCAGGCGTCATCACAAGTAAGGTTTGCCTGTGCGGTGTGACTTCCCGATGACAGAAAAAGCATCAGGAAGAAGAACCATGTAGCTTAGCAGGTGGGACAGCAATAGGGAACTAAAACGCTACGACATCAGGTCAATCTTCCACGAGTCGCGCAGGGGTGTGCTCTGTGCTACCCGTGCCTCAGTGTCCCCATCTGAACAAACACGGCAGACAGCATTCTGCTACCCTTCAGATCGTCTGGCCCTTCTCAGAGCTATGGGCCAAGCTTTCATTTCACAGACCTCTGCAAGTTTAGCGTCACCTGGAGCGGAAAACCCTGACCCCCTACCTTCATCCTGTATCCACCGAGTCTGAGCGATACAAGAATGTCTAACTTTTACCAGGGAGAAGCAGCACGCCAAGGTCAGAAGAGGACTCTGGAGTGCGGTGAGCTGCCCACATGCAGAATGGGATAGACCGTGCTCCTCCAAAGCTCAGCTGTTTAGCAAGGATGTGTTCAAACTCAGACGCGGCCAGAGAGAGGAGGTTCTCCATTTAGCTTCTTGGCATCTGCAGTGACGGACTGCCCGTCCAACTTGCTATTTGTGTAGGCCTTATCTAAGTATTTTCTCTTAAAGAAAAATAGTAATTGCTAAAACTTCAAAGAAACAAATTGCCCGTGACTTTGATGGGTTTCCTCTGGTGGTTCTTGGCCTAGCGAAATGAAGTAAGGAATTATAATGTCCTGACCTCGACTGGAGACAATAACACAATTTATGAAGACCATTCATTTATCGCCGGAGATGCAGAACTGTGTCAGAGGTGAGACAGTATCAATGCTTCTAGCTGGCATGTATGCAGTGAGTCTGAGGGACACGGGGCTGCCAGTGGGTTTCTACATTGGAGACACAGCCTGGACCAATGGGAATGGTTCCTCAGGGTCATCTGTCAAGGTCGCAGGGGGCTGGCCCCTAGCTCTCACTACAGGTTCCTGAAAGCTACATCAAGCTATTATTTGCCATCAGCCCATTTCCTTTCCTTCACTCCCTAACCTCCACAATCTGGCTTTTCAAAGGGAATATCCCGAGGGCTTGTTACATCTGCTACAGGTCACTTCGAATAACTGAGAGATGCTCAACAGTCATGTGTTGGGATGGCTATGCCTGCCACCCCAAGCAGATGGCATTTCAAGACCCAAACAGCTTAAAGTGACCAGCGAAATGTACGATTCTCCAGGTCGGCTAATTTTTATCTTAAAAAGAAGAGCGGATTTAAATTTGGGCATCTAAAGAATTAAGTTCCTTCTTTCCTCAACTGGTAAATTCACCAGACAGATGGAGAACACGAAAATTAGCATTATATTTACAAATAATTCTTTCATGCAATTAAAGTAAGTCAATCTCATTCAATGTATTTCACCAAAACCCCCATCACTGTTATGTTAAATAGTATAATAAGGTTTAATCTGAAAAAAAATACATTTCTCATTTCAGAAGTCTGTAAAAGCAATGTTAATAGCAATGTTAATTGTAAAACGGGCAAACTTTACCCACTGGAAATAATCTCACACTTAAAACTGCTGGAATAAGGATGAGAACTGTCAAAATTATTTAGACAACACAATGCCAAGTTGCTATTTTATTGCTCATGAGGAAGCAAACAGCCTGGAAATTTGGCATGGATCTGTTTTAAGTATAATTACTGTTTTTATTCACAATTATAAATCAGTTAGATGGTCATGATCACTCGGAAATGCTAGAATGGATGTTTCAGTTTGTTTCTGAATGGAATTAGACATCAACCCTGAACTAGCCACTGTGCTGGGGGGGTTCATGCAGGAAGCACCCTTGGAATGACCTCACCGTGTTGAATGTGTTACAAAACTCTCAACAATTTTCTCAGGTGAGGAAAATGAATTAGTCATTAAGTGATACTGATTTAATGCATCAAGAAGAATTAAAATTATAATTCTATTAATATAAGAATCCAAGGTTAAATGTAAAAAATTGAGCTATAAAATACACAAGAATTTATGAAGAATTTGCATCGCTGTGGGGCTTGATAAGAATAACAACAGATGTGGTGTCATGAACTGAGGTTTCTATGTTCTCAACAGAGACTCTGAGGCTAGAGTATCACAGGGTTTGCCTGGCAATGTGTAAGGACCTGGGTTCCCTCCTCAGACACAAACACACACTCTGGCACGCATGCACACACACACACACACGTGCATGCACACACGCATACATGCATGCACACATACACACATGTGCATACACATATGCACACATGCATGTACACGCACACAAAAAACAAACAGAAAACATGAAGAAAATTTGTAAACCACCTAAAGAAAATATTTGTGAAAAAGAATACAGACGTTTAACATCCTCAGTTAAAGACAGGCCAGATGATGATTTGTTAAGAGTAAAAGCTCAACAGAGCAAGCAAGCATTGTGAACAGACAGCATGGCGGTGCACACGGCGGCCAGCAAGTGTGGGGTCCTTCTGTGAGGCAGACAAGAGTGCATGGACCAGTTCTCGTTCTCGTGTTAGAAGATGTGTGAACTCCTAGCATGTCTGCTTTAAAACTTAGCACATGTATGTGCCTGGCAATATATACTCAATTATTTTTATTTCACGTGTATCAGTGTTTTGTCTGCATGTGTGTCTGTGTGCCATGTGAATTCCTGATACACACAGAGGCCAGAAGAAGACATCAGATCCCTGCTTGTGAGCTGCCATGTGGGTGCTGGGAACAGAACCCAGGTCCTCTGCAAGAGCAGCCAGTGCTCTTAACCACTGACCCATCTCTCCAGCTCTGCACTATATACTTTCAAGGGTCATAGGAAAGACCCCATGGGCCAACTTTATTGCATCGTTTATAGTAGAAAATTCTAGAAACTGTCAGCATCAATCTGGAAAAAGCTTCCAAACCTTTACAACTATTTACATTACAATGAATTATAGATCTCTCTAAAAAGGGCCAGCTCTGATAGAAGCCCATTTTAAGGAGAAGGCACACAGCTCTCTGTACATTGCGGAACCCTGTGCACACCTCTGGAGAAACAGAATGCACACGGATGGGCATCACAGCAAGCACGTGGCAGCCGGGTGCAGTCTCTTTCCTGTGCGTATTTCTTCGTTCTGAAGTTCGTTAAGACAAACAAGCATTACCGTTAAAGCCGTTAACCAACATAAATTAGTCACAGCTAATTTCACGCCACGGGCAGAGGCCCGTATGCATTAAGCATGAGAAATAGCTTTTCAATTTGATGTTTTAATTTTTTATAATGAATATTAATTATTGTGACTATTTAGCTAAAAGTAACTGATACACCCAAGCAAGAGTAGGAGGACTGGTTTCTGAAACCAAGCATGCTTCATGAGGGTTGGATATCCCTCTGCAGGCACCATAAAGGCAGTGTAAGCAAACCCCTGTTCCTGCCCAGGGCATAACTACGAGCCCAGGCGACTTGAAGCACGTTGCCCCTGTGAACTGTGGGGAGTAAGGGGGAGCGGGAGGAACTAGGGGCACCAAGAGCCTCATGGGAGCTTTGTCAACACTGACCCATGTAGTCCTGGCAAGGCCTTGCTGTGCGTGAAAGAAAGATGGCCTCCCCTATCCTCCTGAAAGGTGGTCTCACACACTGTTTACGTTTTGAGCCTTGTGGAATGTGGACACACCCTGGCATGAAGGGGCATTCGCACAGCTGCTGCTGAGCTGAGGCACCTACACCGTTACAAGGGTTCCCTTTACTCCTACCAGCTGGGATCCGGTTCTACCCATCTGCTTTGCGTCTGGCCACCCAAGTAAACTTCTCCTGAAACCGTCCTCTACAGAGACATCTTAAGATCAGGTCTGGATGGATCCCCAGAAGAGACGGGGATGGAACATTAAGTAGCCGTCGTGCACCTTAGGATGAAGATGGCCTCCCTAAGGAGAGACTGGCCAGCCGGGTACAGGTAATCTCAACAGTGAAATGCTGGGGCAGCCGCCTGAGAGCCACCCGGGCAGGAGGCGGGCGAGTGGCTCGCAGCACACCAGGCACGAATCTGAGCCCACCCTGCAAACCATCCCCGGGGGAAACGGCGGGACCGCCGCCAAGACGCACATCAGCAAGGCACGCCCCTCGTGTGTCCTCCATTGAGCACGCGCACACACACCAAACTGCGGGTCTGGGTTCACACACCAGGCTTGCAGCCTTTGCCAGGCTGTCCTTACCGATGTGACTGGTTGTGGAGGTTCAGCGACCCCGTCTGGTACATCTCTTCCAACTGCTTCCTGTTCCCAAAGTACAGAGCAAGGTCGGTGGCGATGATGGCTTTGCGGATGATCTCCAGCACCTGCTCGTACTCGCTGGAGCTCAGGGTGGAGAAAATGTTGTGTCCTTCCAGCTACGGGAGAGACCAGAGGAAACAGGGCATCTTCAGGAATTTGAAACTGTATGGACAACAATGCCAAATGTGACTGTAGTGGGAAATTCGGGGAAACAAAGGGACTGTTTAGTTGTAATGATAGAGATACTGCTTATGTGGACCAGTTTGCCCATAGGATACCACCTGCCCCCACAAAACCCAAGTGACTTTACTACACCTTATTGTGTGTGTGTGTGTGTGTGCGTGCACGTGTGTGTGCGCGTGTGTGCGTGCGTGCACGTGTGTGTGTGCGTGTGTGTGTGTGTGTGTGTGTGTGTGTGTGTGTGTAGTGACGGGACTAGGAAATATGAAATACTGAAGTGGCCAGCAGCTTTTGTCTGGGGCCAGTTAACGGCAGTAACTTCATACTATACTGAAACTCATGCTGAGAAAGTCATCCACATCCTCAGCCACCTCAGGCCGCACGGCAAACAGCAACTCACTGTCCTGTACGCAGCTCACGAGAAGCTGACACGGTAGGCACAGTCACTGAAGGTGTGGGAATACCCAATTCACAGAGAGAAACCCAAGAGGAATGGCGATAACAGAGAGGGGTGCAAGCCTCCAGGCTGTGTCGGGGTGTCACGAAATGACAGTACCAGAGAAGAAACGCCCGCACCAAGCCAGAGAAACGGGACGCCCCGGCTGCGGCAGAGAGTGTGACTTGGGTTTCCGGATGGGTGGCAGACGCTGAGGATCTACCCCTGGCAGAAGCCATCCACAAAAGACTTGGGCATCAAGCGGAAGCCAGGACGCTTGAAAGGGGCCGTTGGTGGGAGGATGCGTTCGTGGGAGGTGGGAGGTGGATTAAACAGAGGTGGGAGGGTGGGGTGCCGGGGGTGCAAAGGCTTGAGCCTGGAGGAGCACAAGACTATGGAAGACGTCAAGGGCTAGCCCAAAGAAGAGCGCGGTGGTCTGAATGAAAACGGCCCCCGCAGGCTCATAGGGAGCGGCACTATTGGGAGGCGTGGCCTTGTTGGAGTGGGCGTGGCCTTGTTGGAGAAGTGTGTTATGGGGGGGGGCGGTTCATAAGCCCAAGCCAGGCCCAGTATCTGTCTCTCTCCTGCTGGCCGGGGATCCAGAGATGTACAACTCTCAGCTGCCTCTCCAGCGCCATGTCCGCCTGTGCACTGCCATGCTCCCTGACACGCAAATAAAGAGCTAAAGCTTTGGAACTGTAAGCCAGCCACAATTGAATGCTCTCCTTTGTAAGAGTTGCTGTTGGTCACGGTGCCTCTCCTCAGCAACGGAACGTTGACTAAGACCGAAAGGCATGTGAGGACGTCATACGGAGGCCTACTATTTTGCAACACAATTAAAAATGTAAGTGGAGGGATGAAAGGAGAGTGAGGAATGCTGGGAGTGTGGAGGGCAGGGAGAAAGGAGAGGAAGGGTGGCAGGTAGGCTATCCTGAGCCTTGTGGAAAGCCAACTCCAAAACACAACCTTTAAGATGACTTCAAATAGAGGCATTCTGCATGGGCGGGCAGTGCCCCTCCCAGAAGCCATTGACTATGAAATAAAACCGCTCTGCCTGATGTGGGATGCCTCCCTCCAAGTTGTTTTGGTCAGAGAGGCTTCAGAGGTCTCCCAAACAACTGCTAACACTGTTGGTTACCCGCATAACTAGCCCATAAGATCCTGTTGCTGAAGGCACCACACACTGGCTATCGGATGCAGAGAAAACAATCTCGGATGCTACGTTCAAAAAGACTACTCCCAGTTATGGCTACAAAGCTAAGATAGCACAGTAAAATGCAGCTGCTGCCTGCAGAGCATGCTGTGCAGACCCTCCCCCTCCCCTCCCCTCCCCCCAGAGCACTGCAGCCTGGCTCCTTACCTGCAGGATGGACACTGTCTGTGAGAAGTGGTGTTGCTCCATCGTGGACGTGGAGTACAGCGCTGCCAGGGGGTGGTCAAATTTCTGCAGGTAGCTATTACTGAAGCCTCTGTGGTCCAGGTCGTGACACAGACATGCGATTAGCAGGCCTTTGCGCTTGAAGAGATGACAGAATGCGGACGAGTTTAAGACACGGCCAGGAGATACATTCACACCATACTCATTTCTGCCATCAATACATCCGAACTCAAAGGAATCTCTGAGCTTTTGTGGAACCCTGGTCTTTGTTTTTCTACGTGTGAACTTGACAAGCAAATGAGTTTTTCCTCTGTAGCTCTGGGGAAGGGACAGGAGGTACCAAAGGTGACAAGCTCAGCTATGCATGCAGCAGGCAGCTTGGGTTCTCCTCGTTATAACGACATCGTTGCTGTTCTCAGCCAATACGCACAACATGCAAACACAGGAACGTGTAAACACAGCACGCCACACTGGAGTAAGAAAAATGCTAAGAAGAAGCCCAAGGGGCGGGGGCAAGCCTGCGCTAGAGAGAGCAGTCTGGGCCAGACCCAGCAAGAGTCAGACACCAGCAGAGACCTGTGAGAGGGAAGGAGGGCACAAGATGGTGTTTGAGAAGATGCCGGTAGAAGACCACACCCGAGCGAGGTCAGAGAGCACGCTGGAGACCTAGGTCCTCACACAGACCTCGCATTCCAGATGGCAAGGAGCAGAGTGAAGGGGCTCCCAGACAGCCCTGTCTGCATCTAACTGGCCGTTTTAGAAAACTGCCAAACTGCCTAGCGAGGTGTAAGGAATGCACTTAGGAGGTCTGCAAGCAATCACCAAGGGGAGGCAGGGGAGGAAGAGAGAGAGCAGGTCGGTGATGGGAGTGTAAAGGGTCAGCCAAGTCTGGATGCGGTTTCCAGGCAGCAGGGGGCTCTCTTTCTGGACTGCAAAGTCAGAAGGAAGTTCAGTGCCATCCCTACTGAGGACACCAGCGGCAGGCGTGGGGGATCCTGCAGGTGGCGAAGGTGAGTAGGCCATGGGGGCCTAGGTCAAGAGCCACGGGGGAAACTCTTTCAGAGGTGGGCAAGCGGAGAGTACGTGGGGAAGCTGTCTGAGTCTCAGACTGGCCTTGGGTGGAGAAGGGAAATGGTGGGATTCGCCAAGGCTCTGTGAGAACGGAGGAAGGCAAAAAAGTCTGAGCAATCGTGAGCACAGCTCGAAGGAATCTGAGGGAAGAGGTTCCCAAGGCAAGAGGAGGGAGGAGTGGCCACTGTGTCTCCAGGAAAGCTGAGAAACAGCAAAAGAAGTTAAATGGGGAGGGGGGAATGTCGACCGCCTCCCCCAAATAGAATACGACACACATTTCAGTGGAAAAGAAAATTATTCATATGAACAGAAAAAGCATGTTTCATTTGAATCTTTCCCGAGGAAGTCAATTGTTATATAGTTAAATTCTGCTGAAACCAAGGATTATTGTAGAAAACAAATAAGCCACAACCGAGAGTATAGTTTACTCCTTTGCATGCAACTGCGGTGTGTGTGTGCAGGGGGCGCACATGCGTGTGTGCATGCGACTGCGGAGTGTGTGTGCAGGGGGCGCACACGCGTGTGTGTCTGGATGAAGGCTCGGGAAGGGCACTGCTGCTCTGCTCCATTACTTCCCGCTTTATTCCTTTCCAACAGGGTCGCTCACTGAACCTGGAGCTGGGCCGGTGGCCAGGAAACCCTAGCAGTGCCCCGTCTCTGTCTCCCACAGTGTGGGGTTAAACTGTGTGTGGCCATGCCCACTGCTTGTGCGGGTCCCCGGATCTAATTCAGGCCCCCATTTCTGGAATCCACCTCCCATGATTTCTGGTTCAACTATGACTTTGGTCTGACAAGGGCACGGGGTGGATTTGTTTTGAGTGTGACTTTAAAGGAGGCAAATGCATTATGGTGAGAGGTGGCAGTGCTGTCCTGTGTAGTCACAAGTGTGACCTTGTTTTACGGAGAGAAATGGAGGCCTGGGTTTATGCTGTTCGTGCCACCGCCAGGCTGGGGGCTTAAAGGGACACGCTCCAAGTCCTGGCTGGCTAGTGGGTTCAGCTTCACTGGTGCCCCAGTGCTAATTCCCGCCACTCAGCTGGGAGCGTGCGGTGGCAGCTGTGTGGATGAGAAGGCCCCAACCCGTGTGACTCTGGAATTGTGAAATCTCCCTGGGTGGCTTCAGCTCTGGGTATATGGAACCTGGGCAGCGCGTTGTGTGTACCTCAAAGCCTGTCCCCTTATGGTGGAGGACACAAGATGGCACTGATGTCAACTATACAACGTGCTCAGCGTTCTCAAATCATCCAGATAAGTCTATGTTATCCAGGGCATGTGGGCATCATGAAAGATTCACTCTAGCTGGGTGGTGGTGGTGGTGGTGGTGGTGGTGGTACACACCTTTAATCCCAGAACTGGGGAGGAAGAGAGAGGTGAGTGGATGTGTAAATTCAAGGCTAGGATAGTCTACCAAGTGAATTCCAGGACAGCCAGGACTACACAGACAAACGCTGTCTCAAAAAAAAAAAAAAAAGGAAGAAAAAAAAGGAAAAGAAAAGAAAGTCACTCAGTTAAATACCTGAGCTGCAGAACCTGTCAGCTTTAATAAGGAAGAAAGAACTCTCCTCTCTCCTCTCTCCTCTCTCCTCTCTCTCTCTCTCTCTCTCTCTCTCTCTCTCTCTCTCTCTCTCTCTCTCTCTCTGTCTCTCTCTGTCTCTCTCTCTCTCTCTCTCCCTCCCTCCCTCCCTCCCTCCCTCCCTCCCTCCCTCCCCTCGCCCAGAGGGTATCTGGGTGTAGTTGAAATCTTTAGATCAACATTTCCAGTAAAGTGTGATCTGTGTCTGGGTACCGGTGCTAAGTTCATGCCGTAAGTTCATGCACTTTGACGGAGAGGTTGCCTCCCTGAGCTTTTCTGGCAGGGGGATGTGCGCACCCACCTCGAGGTCCGTGAAGAGGCCATAGTTGTTCTGAAGTATGGCGTACATGCAGTGTGCCACCGTGACTGCGTGCTTCCAGTTGTGGTAAGGAACCCGCCGGTAGTTCTTCTTCACAGACATGATGAAGCGACACAGTTTTTCCAGTTCAAAGCTGTGTGGAGAAGAGACTGTCACGGCAGGGCCAGCATAGCACCACACATGTCTGAGGAGCGTCTAGCTGAGGAGTGCAAATTCTGGCTCCCTCACACACATCTGGGCTCCCTCACACACCTATGGATTCTTCCGCACACCTGTGGATTCCCTCACCTACCTGTGGGCCCCCCTCAAACACTTGTAGGCTTTCCCATACATTTAAGGATTCCCTCGCATACCCGTGGGCTCCCTCACACACACCTGGGTTCCCTTGCACACCTATGGACTCCCTTATACAGCTGTAGCTTCTCACACACCTGTGGGTACCCTTACACACCTGTGGATTCTCTTACACACCTGTGGGTGCCCTTACACACCTGTGGGTGCCCTTACACACCTGTGGGTGCTCTCACACACCTGTGGATTCTCCTACACACCTGTGGATTCCCTCACTCACCTGTGGTTCCCTCACACACCTGTGGACTCCACACACACACCTGCGGGTTCCCTCCTGGCCAACCGTGAGCTCTGTAGTCACTCCCACTACCCCTTGCTTCTTCTATAGCCAGAAAACAGCGAGAGAACTAAGACCAATTCTGACGGCTCCACTCTGCCAGCCAGCACGCCGTCTACCCTGCTTTCCCTTCGTGAGCTCCTTGTGCTTACAAGCATTTCCTACGTTCCAGAGGGCTCGTGTGACCACATACAGCATCCTCCTGGCCAATGCCAAGCACATGCTACAACCCTCTGTGCACCTGACTACACTCTCAGGGAGAATCCAAGGCATTGGGGTACACTCATGTTGCAAGTGGAAGACAGCCACACCCAAATCTATCCACACAGTGCATGGAGGTGGAGGACGCCAATACTACTGTACACCCTGGGGCACACACAGCCGTGTGTCCCTCATTAAAAGCGCTCAATGTCCCCGAAGGGAAAGGCCTGGCCCCTTATGACTTCCAGGCAAACCCTCAGTAGGCTAAGCAACAATCGGAGCTGCTGGTCCCGCATTCGATGCCGACCAGAGCGGAGAAGAGACGAAGCTCAAGAAGACGGACATTGCCGTTTCCAGGGCAGCTACAGTACTCAGCACTTGGGCCGGTGCCAAGCAATCACGTGGAAAATGAGCAAATGCAGTCTTTGAATTTTCAGCCTGTGTGAGGTGTGAACCATCCCCCTCACAAAGTCAGGGAGCCATGTCGGACAGGACAGACGGAAAGAGTGACAGCTTGTGGCTGCTGCCACATTCCCTGAGAGACTTCCCCTTCCTGCCTTAACCTAACCAATACATATGGGGCTCCCCAAGCGGGTGCCGCAGGCATTGTGAGCTCTCCACTGCTTTAAGAGTGGGTCCTGCCTCTTCCCCTGCAGAGTCTAAACAACACCAGATGTCACCTGGAATGTAGGGCAGAGTGATGAGACGCACTAGCGCTACAAATCCAGGTTACCCATTAACCAGAGCAAAACCCAAACAGGTGTCAGCTATGGCTACAGACCAGGAAGCCGACAGCCCCTGCGTGTGCGTCCAACGAGCTCAGCCGGTTTTTATTAGAATGTTTATTAAAATGCCATATTTTACCATAGCCGTACAAAGAACCTGGTTAGGTACAAGTGGGCCAAGGAGGTCACCCCCGTGTTGGAAAGGAGTCGGCCGCACGGGTCGCTCGTACCAGGATGCCCCGCAAGACTGGTGGATCATGTAGACGAAGATCCCGGGCCACATGCTCTCAAAAGGGCCGATGTCAAAGTGGAACCTGGAACCAAAGGAGAGCCGTGGACTGTTAGGTGCAGTCAGGATGGGCACAGCTGGCATGAGAATCAATATGCCCTCTTATCTACCCCGATGCTCAAAGGACGCAAAGGGCTCGGTGCTCTGTCCCCGCCCCTGCAGCATCTGACTGAATGGAAGGGTCCCTGTGAGATTCTACAGAGTCAGCTGCCAGAGGCATCATCAGGGTAATCAACACTAACACACAGACACAGACACAGACACACACACACACACACACACACACACAGCATGCTGTCCAGGGGACACATATGTCACCAGGGTAACCGACACGAATACACACACACACACACACACAGCAGGCTGTCCAGGGGATATGTATATCACCAGGGTAACCGACACTAATATGTACGTATGTATGTATGTGCATATGTATGTATAAACACATACACACACACACAGCATGCTGTCCAGGGGACAAATATGTCACCAGGGTAATCAACACTAATATGTATGTATGTGCGTATGTATGTATGTATGTATGTATGTATGTATGTATACACACACAGCATGCTGTCCAGGGGACAAATATGTCACCAGGGTAATCAACACTAATATGTATGTATGTATGTATGTATGTATGTATGTATGTATGCACACACATACACACACACAGCATGCTGTCCAGGGGACACATATGTCACCAGGGTAATCAACACTAATATGTATGTATGTGCATATGTATGTATGTATGTATGTATACACACACAGCACGCTGTCCAGGGGACAAATATGTCACCAGGGTAATCAACACTAATATTTATGTATGTATGTATGTATATATGCACACACACACACAGCAGGCTGTCCAGGGGACACATATTTCACGAAGGTAATCAGCACTAATGTATGTAAGTATGTATATATGTATACACACACACATACAGCATGCTGTCCAGAGGACACATATGTCACGAAGGTAATCAGCACTAATGTATGTATGTATGTATGTATGTATGTATGTATGTATGTATACACACACATACAGAATGCTTTCCAGGGGACACATATGTCACCAGGGTAACCAACATGAATACACACACACACACACACACACACACACACACACACACACACACGTACATATATCATATCACGGTCCAGGAGACCTTATCAGATACGGCCTTCCATCTAAGCATTCAAAAACTGTAAATCCTGAAGTTACCATACCAAAAACTGTGATCTCATTTACTAATATAAATACTAACCCCCACCACCAGAATGAATGTGCAGCAATGGGGGTTTATCTCCAATAATACGGTGAATGCCAGCTTGGGGGAAGGGTGGCTGCCACGGCACGCAGTCACCACGAGGCCCTGCCTCTCTCTAGACTTAAGTGTGTTAGTCAAGCGCTGGGGAAGGAGAGCACAGAGGTGAAACAAAGTATCACTAAATTCTTTCATTTCACTTGGAGATTGACAGCGGGTGTGACACTAAATATCATTTGAAATACTGGTACAGTAATAACCGCTATCGTTTAGGTGACTGATTTCAAATTTGGTTTCCTGACACGGACTCTCTACACACCCCTGGCTGGCCCTGAGCTCTGAATCCTACTGCCTGAGCCTCCCAAGCGCTGGCATTGCCGGCTTGGGCCACTACATGGGGTTCCCATTTCAGGGCTTGCTATTTAAGGCAAGCAGAAGGGGCAGCGCAGCGTGAGAGCCCACCGGATGCTCCCCCCCACACACGCGTGCTCGGTAACCGTGGTGGTTTTTGCTTTAGTGAGGTGAAAACAGCATGAGGCCCTGCTCACAGTTCGATCTCTCTGCAGATGCGCGCTGGCAGGTTGAAACGCATGAGGCCTTGCCACTCCTCTGCGGTGCAGATGCTGTGGTACGACAGCTTCTCCATGGTGACCCTGTAGATGCACTCCGAGTGGCGGATCCTGTGGTACATCTGCAAGGCAGGAGAAGTGTGAATGGGGGGGAGCCGGGCTGGTTAGAGCAATATGGGCAGGACTTAGGCTTTGGGGTTCAGACTTGGGGTGGGAGCTACGGTTGAAATTCGGGAGATTCACTGTGGCCCACAGTAGGGACACATTGTAGCTGTGCACGTGCACACATGCACACACACACACACACACACACACACACACACACACACACAACCTTGAAGGGTCAGCACTCGTCTGAGTTACATCCTCCCTGAACTAATGTCTCCTTACCATGCATCACCTCTGGGAGAGAAATCACTATCTGCCTTTTCTATAGCGTTCTCTCTTATATTTTCACTTTAATAATAATAAAAAAAGTTAAAAATAAAACATGCGTGCAGTATCGATAAATAAATGCCTAAGGTCTATGGCACTTCTATATCTGTTAAAACAAATTTTGATAAATCCATGCCACCTAGAACACCAAACTGGCTTCCTTGGGAGGGTTTCATGTCTTTCCCCCATTTAATTGTATTTTTCTTCTTTTCTTAAGTGGATTTGGGGTTTTGTCAGCATAAGAGCAATGAATCCAACTGTGTAACAGACTTGTATGACACCCAATACAGTGCCCACGGAGCAGACACATGAACAGGGGACTATGGTAATGGACAAATGAGGGCTTAGCACATAGCTGGTGATGAGTGCTTACCCAGCAGGCACAGGTGCCTCACCTTGAGAGAGCGGGTGTTGAAGGGATCTACTTGAAAGTAAAGAGGCTCAGTTTACCGTCCTATTGAATTAGTAAGACCACGTGTACTTGTATGCAAGAAAATAATTAAATGCATAAAACAATTATATGAATTAAAAATAATTACACTAATGTGTGAGATAAAATTTAAAAAGCAATGGATCCAGTAAAAGGACCAGTGCTTACATGCGTCAATTAGTAACTGTGAGATTAGTTCGGAGAGAAACAATGTGTGGGGGGGGCGGGAACGAGCCCTCTACAAAAATTAATGTGTGTGATTAGTAGCTTCTCCGATGGTTCATGCTGTGTTGTAACATCGGTATAGGGCAGATGTCTTCCCATATGCAAGATCGTGTTTGTCATCCAGGGAATATGAGCAACGATGAGACGCATCAAGGATCAAGATGTCTTTTACATCATCATTTGAAACTACTTGGTGGGAGCTGGAGAGACGGCTCAGAGGTTAAGAGCACTGGCTGCTCTTCCAGAGGTCCTGAGTTTGATTCCCAGCAACCACATGGTGGCTCACAACCATCTATAATGAGAGCTGGTGCCCTCTTCTGGTGTGCAGGAATACATGCAGGCAAAAAGGCTGTATGCATAATAAATAAATAAATCTTTTTTTAAAAAAACTACTTTGGTATACAGTTCTTAGCAATCTCTGCTAGACCACACAGCTTTGGAAACTATGGGTTGTGACCCCACGTGGGGTCACATAATGGAGTGTAGCTGTAGCGCACAATAGGCTGGTCAGGCACTCGGCAAGGAGAAACCCCCTCTGATTCAAAGGCATCATACATCTGAGGTGTTTGTTAATGGGTTTCCCTGGGAAGCAGCATCGCACACCTTCGCTGTGGTGTTGGCTCTGCGTACTTTGGTCTGTGCGTGATGGTGCCCCCGCTCTTATAGGAACACCATGGATGGCTTAACTACAGGAAGAAAAGACGATGTTTGGGGCATCGTTTCCATAGGTAACTATCATATTAGCATATTTCGGGTTGTGTTGTATAAAGCCTACTGTTTGAGTTGCTGACAAGTTTCATTTAAAATACAAAACAAAAAACACTCAATTACTCCTGGTTTGCGGTGAGCACAGAATTCTCAACAGTTTCTGAAATGGTTCTGAATGCACCTCTGTCTCTTTGTCCCATATAATTGACACGAGGCAGTGTCCTCCCATGCCTAAGCTACCACTGAGAGTGTGAGGTCATAGGTATCTGACCACAGTGTCCATCCCCGGCTCCCACTGAGACCTGTGTTAGATCATAGGCACATGGCCCCAGGACCCTCTTCTCTGACTCAGTCTGGCTTCAGCAGCACCGGTCTGAGGCCACATACCCACAACCCACAAGTCCTAACCTATCCTTAGGCTCCTATTATGACCTGAGAGAATTTGGATGGCCAAGCCACCCGACTAAAGCCAGAAACTGGTGATCCCGTGTCGCGTCTGCTGCGCGGCCTGTGTCCGAGAACATGCGGAGGGTGTCGGGGATTGACAACACAGAGACTTGTTCAACGATGTAAAGAAAACTTTAAACAGGCCCCAAAAAGGTTCAAGAAAACTTCCTAAGAAAGGCTCCCACCAGAGAAGCTTCTGCTCTCTCCTCTCTCCCCTGGCTGGTTCTGCTCTCACACCAAAAACTGATCTGGGTGTGGCAGAAGAGGTGGTTAGTCTTTGGACAAGGTCGAGGTCAGGGTGGTTTCTGTGGGCAGGCCTTTTCCAGGAACTTAATGCCCCCAGGCATTGTATTGTTTTTAGTAAACATGTTTTTAGTAAACATTGTCTTACAGCTGCCTACTCCCAGGCAGAAGGGGAAGTGGGTCTCTGCTCAAGGTCTGGTGTTCCCACAATCCCGGGCCTTGCCCATCAAGCAACCTGTGTGCGTATAATGCAGCTAGCCTAGCCAGGACCATCCAAGCTATTCCAACCATGCATCAGCACTGACTGCTCCATGACTGAGCTCTGAGTATCACCGCCTAGTAGACTCTAACCCAGCTAAGACATGGGAACACCAAAATCAGACCCAAATGTCCATTCACTGCAAGTGGGCCAGCAATCCATGCCAACGATGTAACTGACCACGTCTAGGTGCACAAATCACAACACAAAATGTGACAGAAAAAAAAAAACCAAGACAACATGTCTGCCCCCCAAACTACCAACCCCATCGTAATGGTCCCTAATGAAAACTGCCTAGAATAAATTGCAAAGGATCCAGCATAACGATTGTAAGTATGTCCATGAAAATCAATGAGGACACAAATGTCTAAATGAATCCAAAGAGGACAGGAATAAATCCCTGAGTGAATCCTAGGAGAACACAGACAAACAGAGTAGTGAAATAAGTAAATCAATCCAAGGCGCAAAATTAGAATTCAATAGAGAGAGAGAGAAATACTGCAGAAAAATGAAAGTGAAATGAAGCCAGAAATGAAACATTCAATGAGCCCCGACAGGAGCCCCGTCAGCGGGAGCTGCGTGCTAATGTACGGCTTGTGAGCAGCACCGACTGTGGATCCTGGAGGCAAGGGACAGGGACTGGGTTATTAAATCAAAGTGAAAACAAAGAGCATGTAACGGAGCGTGCGAGACACTTGGGACACCATGAAAAGATCAGACCTAGGAACCGTGGGTCTGGATGAAGATGAAGAACTCCATGCCAAAGGCACAGAAAATAGTTTCAATAAAATCGTAGAAGAAAAAAAAATCTTCAAATCTAGATAATGAGATGTCCGTCCAGGTACATGAGCCTCAGGAAACAATAAATGGACAGGGCCAGGATAGGATCCGCCCATGCCGCATTACAGCCAAAAACTAAATATACAGAATGAGAAGAGAGAGAGAGAAAGAGAGAGAGAGAGAACCACACACAAAGGCAGGCGTCTATTACAGAGTGCCTTGCCTTGCCTGTGGCGTGACTTTCTTTGGGACAACTATGTATTTTCTCATTCGGTGTTAGTAGCACCAGAAGCATCTAAAGTGCGGCTCATTGCTTTAAATATTATCTTCTAAATGTCAAAATATTGGCTCGTTTGTCAGGAGAGGGCAGCAAATTTGAAACATGCCCTTTTTTTCTTGTCAAGGAAATGTGTGAATGATGTAAAAGTTCAGGGACTACTCCGGGTACTGTGCACAAACTGCAGACCCTTAGGCAGCAGGGAGGGAGCACGTGTGAAAGCCCGGTCAGTCGCTAACAGGGCTGAGGAGCAGCTTGCAGACCACGTTTACAAACGCTGAGCACTGCACAGGCCACCGCCTCTTCCTAGGTGCAGAAGGACACCTGCCACAGGACATTGGTCACCCCGGATGGGATGGGACTGTGTACCGTGCGAGCTTTGTGAGAGCTCTTCCGTGGCCCAAGAGCCCAGCGTGAGACCCCCACCAATGCCATTCGCCCGGAAACGCAGGCAAGCACCCCCTTCGCTTCCTCCCACACCTCACGGACGCCTCCTGGCAAGAAGGACAGCGTCACTGGGATTCTCAGTATTCGGTGCAGTTGGGCTGTTCTGGAGTCCAGTGGGAGTCCATGCTGAAGGTGCAAGCAGAGGCAGCTGTTCTGGGTATGAGATCACACACAACACAGGAGTTGCACGTAATATTGGTCCCCTGCACACGACATAGCCTTGTTCCCCGACTCCTATTTTTGTCACTCTGCCTTACGAGCTGGCGACCTGCAGTCTGGTTGAAGATTTTTGTCACCGTCATCATTTACAAAGCTATGCTGCTGCAAAATTAAGCTATGCTGCAAAAGACATTACAGCATATATTTTATTTAAATTTCTGTTCATGCATTTTTTCATCATTTTAGGTTGGGCTTACTCTAAAATTAATTGCAACATAAGTTAGTTTAATTTCGGGCAAAAATAAATACGTTTTGGAAAATGTATGCATTTTTCATCTTGTATATAACATTCAATATGAACATCAGAAAAATTATACAATCTAGGGCCTCCCTGGAAACTAAGGAAGAGGGAAAATTATATGTCTCTGCAACGCTTCATCAGTTACTTACATACGGCTACTGGGAAGTCATCTTGTACCCTGTATTAGCAGAAGAGACTTTTTTGTTTGTTTGTTTGTTTGTTCAAGACAGGGTTTCCCTGTGTAGCTTTGGATCCCCTCCTGGAACTAGCTCTTGTAGACCAGACCGGTCTTGAACTCACAGAGATCTGCCTCCCTCTGTCTCCCAAGTGCTGGGACTAAAGGTGTGTGCTACCACTGCCCAGCTGCAGAAGAGACTTTTAGAAGAAGCAACTGCTGTTGGTCTAACACTG